CCCTGTGAAGGGTGTTCAAGATATTCAAGGCCAGGTGGGATGAGGCTTTGGGCAACCTGGTGTCGTGGAAGGTGTCCCTGCCTGTGACGGGGGGTTGGAACTAGGTGATCTTTGAGGTCTTTTCCAACCCAAACCATTCTAAGATTCTGTGTCCCACTGGAGGGCTAAGTTTTTATTCCCAATGGCTATAACCAAATGTTACAAAAATGAAGAGCTCAATACATATTTTAATGTTATATGACTTAATTATGATTCTGTTGCATTAATTCTATTATTCTTCTTGTAAAAATACACCATCAGGAATTGGAAAGGAGGAATGGGAGAGGTTTTTGGTAGATGTAAGTAAGTTTGTAGGGCTACAAGGATCTGACAAAGCAACTTTTTCTGGAAAGGATTTTTTTTCCATTTTTCAAAATTTTGGGTTGAAAAAGAAAGATTGCAGGCTTCGCTGAAAAAGATCTTTACCAAATTAGAACTGAATTAAAGAAATGTACATAGTTGGCTTAGGGCACAAGACTTAAATAATTAGTACTACTATAATTAATTTTTGGATCACCTGACATACAAACTCTACTGAAACGCTTCATTTGAACAAAAGAAAAATAGAGAACTAGTGATCACACTGACTATTTTTGTAGTTAATTTCTTCTTGTTTTAACAGGAACCTTGACTTACCAAAATGAGACACAATCTGGTGTGTCAGACACCTCCCACTGTCACTGTTCATGTGAAATTGAGTGCAACAAGATCGCATCAGCAAAACAACCTTATTAGACTAGAGTGGCCAGCTTTGAAAGACTGTGAAGAAAACTGGGAAAAAAGAGTTCCTACTGATAAATACAAATGTGCACAGAGACCATGTGTAGTCATTCAGCGTGAGGAAATGATGGCTTTCTTTAAATTATTTGGTAGGTTAATAATGACAGATATCAATGTATGGACTGAACAGTAGAAAACTATTAAGCAAGTATGTTTTCTAAACTCAATAATCTGGGGAGTGCTTTTTACATGGATACTAACAGCCATGTCTCTGTCTACAGATATTTTGTTGTTCTATTTTAGTGTGCAAATATTTAATGCTTAAGGTAAAAATACAAAAAGGTGTACCAAACTGGTGAAAAGTATCTTTTTAAATTACAAATGAAGACAATGTGTTATAATACTTCCTTTTGTGATCATTTCCTTTTCCTTTCTATTTTCTCTTGTATTCAACAAATAACATGTAAAACAATGTATATCTTGTTTTACACAGGGCTTCAAAGGGCTGGATCCCAGTCTTATAAACATTTATTGATTGTGGGATTAAACATCTAGAGAGAGAAGGAATGGGAAGAAAATCTGAGGAGTTGTAGCATCTCCTGTATTTGTGTGTCTCTCATATAAAGTTTTGTATTTATTAAATTTAGTGAAGAGATTAAGTAATAGTGGAAGATTAGACTTGGTTTTCATTTGAACCTTGAAGACAGGAGTGAATCAGAGAGAGTTTGCCGTAATTCTGTTACAGTACGTGTTCACAGACAGTAATGCCCCGACCGCAAATCAGCAAGCGAGTATTGCCTTTCTGGTAGCTCGTCTTCTTTTGTCACTTATGTTTTTCTCATACCTCATCTCTTTCTCTCCTCATTTTCTCTGTTCTCCACAGCTGGGTCTAGCTTCTTTCCTTTTATTTGGTTTAATAAAAGGAAGATCGTTTCTTATTTACAAATACTTTGTAACAAAAACAATTTTGGTGTTTGAAATGCTACAGCTTGCTTTTGTTGCAGATGATGATCTAATCCAAGACTTCCTGTGGATGGACCGCTGCTGTAAAATTGCAGACAAAGTAAGTGTATTTCCTCCTTAGATGCTAGAAGGTATATTGAGTGAAAAATCTGCCCTTACTCGCTTGATACTGTAATAGAAATACAGACCATAATTTTTTTCTAATGTGTACCTATGGAAGCTTCAAGAAACTCGATTTATGCTTTTGTTATTGACAAAAATGATCAAGATATCTTGGTGTAAGATAAATGTGTGAAGCATTTTAGGAAATTATATACTGAAATAATATATTGATACTTCATTTTATATTTTAAAACAGTATCTCCTGGCAATGACTTTCGTTTATTTCAAGAGGGCAGGCTTCACAATAACAGAGTATACCAGACTCAATTTCTTTGTCGCTCTGTAAGTACTTTTAAATTATCTGGTTTTATTAGATAAAGTCGGCATTCTTTCTTTCCTTTGTTTATGCCACTGATAATTATGCTATGTGCTGAGACTTCTTTAACGAGTTTGTAGTTGTGTGGGTTCTGTATGAAGTACAGAAACCTGATATTCATAGTATATATAAACAGCACAGATTCAACAGTCTTCCTCTGATGGCCACGAGCTTGAGCAGCAGTGAGGAGATGTTTGACCATGATTTTCCAAGAATAGCTAAAATCCCTGAAGTAGAAAATGTAAAGTTTAAGATTTCACAAGATAATTTTAAGCAAATGGAACTTTCTGATTAAGAAAATACTGCACTCCTGAGAGAAGGCTATATTTTGTTAGCAGTTTTTCTCACAAGATTAGGAAAAAACCTACTGCAAGATTATGCCTTTTAATGTTAGAAATCATACTGATAAGTGATTTGAGATGGAATAACATTTACAGACACAAAAATATATATGTTTGAAGGTACCTGGCAAATACAGTTGAAGAAGAGGATGATGAATCAAAGTATGAGATCTTTCCCTGGGCCATGGGAAAAGGCTGGAGACAGCTCTTTCCTCATTTCTTAAATTTGAGAGACGAACTATGGCACAGAATTGACTTCAGGGCTATCGTGAGCAGACGCTGCTGTGAAGAGGTAGGGAGGGTTTGAATATTGTAGATGCTGAAACTATAATTAACACCAGCTAACGATCCAGCTCTGTACAAATAGTTTTTCCTTTAAGTGCATAGAACAAACCACAGGAAAGAAAAGACACAGCTAAAATGTAGGGGTCCATTTATCCTCCATGGATTTTTTTCTCTTCTGCATTTAAAATACTTTCTTTGAAACTGTGCTTTTAAGGAAAACTAGAATATTTTATGTTGCACTACTGTTAAAAGGGAAGTTATAACTGACTAGAATATTTCTGCTTTATACAACTATTTTTATTTAAAATTTACCATCAGTTGTTTCAGTTCATTCACTTTAGAAATATTTTTGTGTTGTTTGCTTTACAAATTATAAGTTTGTACACAAGTAAAACCTTCAAATAAAAATCACAGCACCTCAGGTGAAATTTTGATCCCTTCGAAATTAATGGTATCATTTCAATGGACTTTTTAAGGTAAAGGCTTTTCACTGTTGTGGTGGGTTGCCCCTGGCTGGATGCCAGGTGCCCACCAAAGCTGCTCTATTGCTCCCCTCCTCTGGGGACAGGATTCTCCAGGGGCTACTGGTGGATCTGTGCTCCACAATCAACATCCATGGGATGCAGGGCACAGCCCGCCTCACCATGGTCTTCACTATGGGATGCCAGGGAATCTCTGCTCCAGCACCTGGGC